ATATCGTTCAACAAGAAAGTGGAATATAGATATCCGTGACCAAGCGTAAGGCCGAATCTCGGGTATCTCTGCTGGGCAACTGTTTTCATGCGAGACATGCGCCCCGCGATAATCATGCCGCCGACTGACTCGCCAGCGCCTCGAGTGCGCGAACTGGCTGGGTGGAGAGATTTGGGGTTGGCGGGTCGCCTGCGCAAGACGTTTTTGGCCCGCGTCTTCCAGCTTGCGTGGCGGTGCAGCCCGTTGCTGTCCCGGCGCCCTTGGGAACGGGCTGGAACATGGTAGGGGCCATGCCGTCATATGCATGCAGACGAACTGCCAGTTGCGCCTGCTCACCGCGCAGACCAGGTCGCGTTGCGCCGATGGCTGCCTTCTGGGGGCGCCCGCCTGTTGAGGGTGGACAGCAGCCGCCTCCGCCGTCTGTGGCTGGTCCTCGCGGCGCAGGGGTTGACTCTTTCAAGGGTGAGCGGCAGTCCGTTGCAGAAGAAGCAGCCGACTGCGCTTGAAGCGTGAAAGATCATGCGCGAGGGCCATCCAGCTGTGACACATTGGAAACGAGCTGTGTGCGAATTGCTTGCAGTTGAGGCGAATGCCGGCAGTCGCGACGAATGCCCCGCGTGGCTTAAGGGCCGTCGAGGACGCCTCGTCCAGCTTCTACAATCTCGCCGACAGCGGTGATCTTGATGCATTGCGCGCGCAGGTCGCTGGCGCTGCTGGCGACGTCCTGCTCGGCGGCGGCCTGGGGCGCAAAGGCAACGCCCCCCAGAAGTAGAAGACGCGCGGGCGGGCCTGGGCCGACTGTTGCCCTGGCAGCTTCGCCCCTTGGCTGAAGCTCATTTGGGGCCTGGGCCCTGGCCGGGCGGCGCCGTCGGTCAATCCGTTCCGCGGCTTCTGGTTCTCACCTGGTTGGCCAAGGGCAGCTGCAACTTGCCATTGGCCATTGTGCTGCCGCGCGGCGATCGTGGAGCAGAGGCCCGCGGGCGAATTGCGCGCGCCGCGCCGCGTGGCGTCTTCCGAGGCGTCGTCGGTCCTCGACCCAGGAATGGCGCTGCGCATGGTTGTTCGGCCCTCGGAGCTGCGAAGCGCCGCGTTGGAGCGGGGCCCCGAGGGGCCCTGGGCGTGGCGCGGCGCGGGGCTGAATTGAAACAGTTGTTTTTTAGTTGTCGTTTTTTTGTTGTTCTTCGTTGTGGGCGCGCTTCAAAGCGCGTTTTCGCATGTTCGGCGCGCCGGCCGTCGCGCCCGTGCGTCTCGGCCACCGGGCCGCCGTCTTGTTGGTCGTTCTGCGCTGGCGCAGGCAGGCGCCGCGCGTTTTGTTGGGTGTTCTACTTCCGCGCGGGCAGGCGCCGCTCGCTGGGTTTTCGTTTTGCTATACTGCGCGAGCAATATTTGTTTGAGTCTTCGCTCAGATTCTCGATTGCGCTCTCGCAGCTTAATTCTCCACCCGAGCTCCCGCCTCGATCTTTGCTTGTGCTCTCGACGATTAAATTTCCATATAAAATCTTCGCCTGAACCTTCGCCCGCTTCTCGCGGCTGAATGCTTGATTTGAATCTCCCCCTTCATTTCCGCTCGCGCTCTCGCGACGCAGGTCGCGCAGTAGAACTTCAGCAACGCAGCTGGTCGCGCCCTTGCTTTTTAAATCGCCGTGAAGGTCTTCGCCGAGATGCCCCCCCCGATCCTAGATCTCCATCTCGATCGTCGGACTCCCCGGGCCCTAGGTCTTCGCTCGAATCTTCCCCTGGGCCTTAAATCTTGACCCGAATCTGCAGCCTAATCGTCACATGCATCTTCGATTTTTCCCAACCATCCTGTGGTGTTGGGTCCTCGTTTTGAAAAGACGGTGCCCCGCGTCTCCTATCCTCTCCTTCCTTCCTTCCTTCCTTCCTTCCTCCTCCTCCGCCTCCTCCCCCCTCCCACTAACGCAGCGCGCCCCTCGCGCGTTTCGTGGCCCCATAGGGGGCTCCACCGAGGGCCCCAGTGGCTGCGTTGGCATGGCGGCACCGCACCCATTTCGGCACACCGCTCACACGTTTCGTGGCCCCATGTGGAGCTCCACCGAGGGCCCCAGTGGCTGCGTTGGCATGGCGGCACCGCACCCATTTCGGCACACCCCTCGCACGTTTCGTGGCCCCATAGGGAGCTCCACCGCTGCGTTGGCACGGCGGCACCGCACCCATTTCGGCACACCCCTCACACGTTTCGTGGCCCCATAGGGAGCTCCACCGAGGGCCCCAGTGGCTGCGTTGGCATGGCGGCACTGCACCCGTTTCGGCACACCCCTCACACGTTTCGTGGCCCCATAGGGAGCTCCACCGAGGGCCCCAGTGGCTGCGTTGGCATGGCGGCACCGCACCCATTTCGGCACACCCCTCACACGTTTCGTGGCCCCATAGGGAGCTCCACCGAGGGCCCCAGTGGCTGCGTTGGCATGGCGGCACCGCACCCATTTCGGCACACCCCTCACACGTTTCGTGGCCCCATAGGGAGCCCCACCGAGGGCCC